AATTAAGTGTATAGTCATATCACAGGTATCCGGGGTGGGTTGCTGCCGGTCTTACTACCGATTCGCAACCCGCACTGGGTGCACATGCGCTGTTCAATGTAAATTGTTATTTGTACATGCACAGAACAATTTACAATGAACTGCGCACATGCAGTCCAGTGGTGGATTCTGGATCCTGTTCCAACTGGTATGGTTGGAACGGGCCCAAGGGCATCCACATGGGCACATGCATCTTAGCGCTTCTGCAACGCTCCAGCTGCTCAGGGAGCATTGCGCAGGTGTATGCGCCGTGCGCAGAAGTGCCGAAGACTTAAAAGACTGGTAAGGAGCTCGGACAGGCAGGTGGGCCCTCCGGAGCACTGTACCGGAATGTTATCCGGTGCTCCGGCCAGGTTCTGGTATGCTCGTACCGGGGCGTACCGCCTGCAACACATCACTGGTGCAGTCACTAGAAAAACAAAATGGTGGTGTGCAACAGCCGTGAGGGAACTGGTTCGGGGGCATGGCAGGCCTGGGTCGCTGCCGGTTCTGCAACCCAGGCCTGAACTCCACTACCAGTTCAGCTGAACCAGGCGGAACCAGCAGGAACCCACCTCTGTATGTATCTTTTTTTTTTTTTTAAAAAAACCCCTTTTTCTTAAGCTCTTTTGCTTCTTTCTTTCGGTTTAATGCATCTTAAGCAGGGTAACGAATGTACTTTCTTATTATTGATGCATTATCTTGTTTGTTATACTTCACTTACATTTTAAAGAAATATTAAAATAAAACAGCCATGCTAGTGGCATTTTTCCATTTTAATGTAATTTATTAACAAATCCACAGTTTTCTTTCTGTACACAATATACAAATAGGAAAACGTAACCTTTTTATATGTACAGGATTAAGTTACTTTAATTAGCTTCTTGATATATACATACATACATATATATATTTATACTTATATATAAACAGGAACATCACAGAATCGTTCATTAGTTGCATCTTATTTACAGAAAAAAACAGTACAAGGTCATATTTTGACAAGGTCAGGCCACAGGTGTAATATACACCAAAAAAGCACCATCTGGATCCATGATAATATAATATATAACACAATATTGAATAGGAAAAAAACATACCAAAATATACTTAACAGTACTTTAGAGATTTGCACCATTCAGTGGGTGGATTAGTGATAAATAGCATATGTTTAAAAGATATCACAACGCAACAGAGTGTTTCAAACTGATTCTGGCAAAAGTCACACTGAGATGATGCTTGTTCTCCTTAGAGGTATCTTACTGGAGTACCAAAAGGTAAAGTATGTTTGACAATCGATGATCCATGGATCCCACTTAAGGCACAACGTCGATCAATATTTGATTTCCAGAGCAGTCTTTAAGGCTTCACAAGAGCTCTCCCATGGAAGGAAGTTTTCACAGTAGATGTCATGGTGGCCCCATGTTTAGAGGATTCCCAGGGGGTAAACCAAGACAAGGTAAGGTCAAACAATACTGGCTAATTCTGTAGAATCTGTCTCGGTGCTACTGCTGCTCTCTTCCTCTCTGAAAGAGTCAAAAGATAGAAAAGTAATAAGCACAACATCTTGGTAGGTGCAATTATCTCTAGTAGTGATTCAGGGACTGGGTTCACCCATTGCCTTAGGCCAGGGGTGTCAAACTCAAGGCCTGGCAGCCGGATCTGGCCCAGGGGACAGCCTTGGAAAGAGCAAAGGACTGGCGCGTGGTGCCTCTGCCAGTGAAAACAGAGCTCGGGTGGGCCGCGAGCTCCGTTTTTGCTGGCAGAGGGTTGCAGGAGTCTGTCGCAACTGAAAACGGAGCTTGGGAGCCCGTTTTTGCAGGCAGAGCTCTTGGGCCACACAGGCGCCCCCCCCTGACACGAGTGATGACAAGATGGCCATGTCCACCCTGCTGTCCCCCATTCCCCACCCAAGGTCAAACACAACCCTGATGCGGCCCAGAATGAAATAGAGTTTGACACCCCTGCCTTAGGCGATGGACATGGTCCCCTTGATTTTGACCCAGCCAAAGTTGACTCTACAAAAGATGATTAAATGGACTATGGCTTAATCTATGATGCAACACCTGATCCAGGTGAGTTTGGAGGAGAGAGAAGGAAGATCGTGTGTAATATAAGACCAAACCAAAGCTAGAGATTGCTTTTGTGCCAGGCATACTATAAAAAATGGCTACCTAAGGAAGAGTAAACTTAGCTAGAGGATCGGGAAGGTGGCCCAAAATCATTCGTTGATGACCCATTTCTGCACAAGATGGAGCAGTATATGAACTCTTCCTATTCTTCTAAAAAGCCAGGTGCTCACAATCTAATGACAACTGGACAAATTTGAAACATATGAGAAGTCTAGTATAAAGAAGACTAAAAGGCCATAGGTGTGATGGAGCATGCGTCTGCAGGAGAAGAGGGGGGTTTGGGTAACACAGAGCTTTCCTAGAGAGAGACCCACATCAAGAGACTGCACAGTCCTGAGATGAAAGGGGGGTGGGGTGGGGAGGATCACGGTAGCCACACCTGAGAATTTGCCAAGGTATATCTAGTAGAGTGTTTCTCAAACTTGGCAACTTTAAGACATGTGGACTTCACATGTGGGCCTGACCATCAGGAAGCCATGCAAGACTTCTCTTTGCAAAACTAAGGTACATGAACACTCAGCATTTTATATTTAGTGTCCTACTGTATGCTCACCCTTCTGGGGCAAAAGTGCTACATCAGAGAAATGAGATAGCCACTTGTCTCAGAGCCAGAAGCATCCGCTCTATTTTAAGTTTCAGCAATTAAGTTACAAGGATGCTCTTGGACGGAGCTCCTGGGGTTCAGGATTTCAAATACTATCCATAAGAGGGAGTTATTTCAGGTATATATTAAATGTGACAATTTTTAGTTTACTTATTTAGGGTAAACAAGGGATTGGTGTTACTTATGTTCCACAGCTGCCGAAATCCAAGGGAATCTTTGATTGTCTGTCTGTCTGTCTCTTTATCTCACCTATCCTCTACCTCATCTACCTACCTATCTCATCTATCATTTATCTTATCTTATCTTATCTATCTATCTATCTATCTATCTATCTATCTATCTATCTATCTATCTATCTATCTATCATCTATCTATTTACCTACTTCTACCTAACTACCTACCTACCTACCAACCTACCTACCTACCTACGTGTGTGTGTGTTGCATTTGTGCTGATAAATATATGTGTTATAAAGACAACACAAATGTAACAAAGGCAACATAAAAAAATGCCTTTCTGCCTGGATGGCTCCGAGGGTGAGCTGAAAGACAGAAAAGGGAAGCAATATGCTCCCTCCCATATTTGGGCATACCAGGGGTTGTGACACAATACACACACACACACACATACTCTCTCTCTCTCTCCCCCCCTCCCTCCCTTCATCCAATTGTCGTGGTCACTACGGTCTTTAGAATATTTTGTATGAAAAGAAATTTTAGGAGAGTGTTGGTGAACTTTTTCGGCACCCAGTTCCCAAACCAGAATGCGTGTGAGAGCATGCACATGTGCTAGAGCTTCAAAAACACAAAGGTCAGCTTGTCTTCACGTGTGCCAGAGCGCATGCACACCGGCTAGCTGATCTTTGGGTTTCCAGCGCTCCTGAAAAGCAGCTGGTGTTGGTGCATGTGCCCACAGGGAGGGCTCTGTGTGCCATAGGTTCACCATCCTGGTCTTAGGACAACACATGGAGAACAGAGAAACATGGCCAAACTTGCTTAGCCGCTTCTCCAAGAACTTGGATGAACGTGGCCAGTTGTCTTTATTCAGTTTATCAGAATTCAGAAAATTCACGGCTTTGGGAAACATGAACTGATCCAGAAGGCAGCTTCAAAGAATTCTATTTATGCCATCATGGTACAAAAACAATAAAAGAGAGAAGGGGGACTTTGTGACCATGAATCCTGAATGAAGGGCATTTCTGCCAGCTATGCCAACCACAGGTGGTTATGTAGAAGCCCTAAAGGTCATCACTAGTGGTAATGACATCATAGCAATAGCAGTAACAATAGACATATACTGCCCCATAATGCTTTATAGCCCCCTATGGGCAGTTTACAGAGTCAGCCTATTGCCCCCAACAATCTGGGTCCTTGTTTTACCGAACTAAGAAGGACGGAAGGCTGAGTCAATTTCTAAACCTGGTCAGGATCGAACTGCAGGCTGTGGGTAGAGTTTGCCTGCAATACTGTAGTTCAACCACCAGGGCTCCTAATTATCACACAACATTTCTTTGAGTTTGCATGATAATGCAATGACACGAGTGATGTCTTTTGTTTCCCTGTGGGTCATCCAAGCTGCCAGCCCATGAAAGGCAAATCCCAGCCCACCTTTCCCTCTGCGACAGGTGCCCATCCTGAGGAGATCCCTCCTCCCCTTCCTCTCTGGGTGCCCGTAGTAAGCCTCTCACCTTAAATCTTGCAGCGCTTTCTTGTTTTTTTTCCGCCTGTCCTCATCAATGGGGTAGAGCTTAAAAAGGAGCAGGCCAAAGACAATCAAAGCCACCGGGGCAGCAGAGACGAGCATTTTCAAAGTCAGGTTCACCTCCTCCGGTTGGGAGCAGCCTCGAGTCTTGTATCCTGCAAAGCTGCAACAAATTAAACAGGGGAGGTTGAATAAAGGGAGCGGAGGCAACAGTTCAAACTATGTGGTGGTAACAAAATTAGAATAAATGATGCAAGAGGAAGAGCAGTGATACCAGTTGGCACAAAGCTCTGTATAGAGTTTGAATGCAGAACTTCGCCATGGGGGTCATATTTTCTTTATTGGACAAACGGTTAATCATTATCTTTAGCCAAATTATGCTGGAACAGGAATTATTCAGATACTGTAAAATCCCCATTCCCTCCCCACTCCAGGGGAAGGATACTGCAAAATCCCCATTCCCTCTCCACTCCAGGGGAAGGATACTGCAAAACCGGTTCTCCAGTACTGGTCAGAACCTGCTGAATACCACCTCTGCTTTGCATGGCAAAAGCCAGCCATGTGACCGTGGGATGCTGATCCCTTTTTTCCAGTGTTGTCATAATTTTGAACTGTCGCTAAATGGATAGCTGCAAGTCGAGAACTACTAGTGTTCATTTTCTGCTTGAACACATTAAGTAACGGGCAAATGACTCTTTTCTTTTGTTCCTTATTTTTATTGTTAGGAAGCTTTACTTAGCGTTCAGTTGGATTCTCCCTTTTTAAACAAAAGACTATTATTCTGGGTGCTGCGCTATTGGATGATTGATTAGGCCAGTATTTTTCAACAAATAATTTTTATTTTTAAGCATTTTTCAGCTTACTGCCCAAAAGAAGCTTTTAATTCCCACCAAGAAGCTTCATGCATGTATATATGCATGAGAGGCAGAAGCTTTACTCCAAGGATTACCAACTGATAGGGTTATTCAGTGAAGCAGAAAGGGCTGTGACATCTATTAAATTGCATTGTCTCTCCTGTTGCTTTAAAATAAGAATGGATTGCAATAGAGTAGAATAGAATAGAATTGGAACTGGAATGGAATAGAAATAGGAATAGAATAGAAATAGGAATAGAATAGAATTGTGGAATGAAGACTAGAATAGAATAGAATAGAAATAAAAATAGAATAGAATAGAATAGGAACTGGAACAGAATAGAAATAAGAATAAAATAGAAGTAAAATAGAATAGAATAGTGGAATGAAGATTAGACTAGATTAGTATAGAAATAAAAATAGAATAGTATAGAAATAAAAATAGAATAGTATAGAAATAAAAATAGAATAGAATAGAAAAAAAGAATAAAATAGAACAGAACAGTATAGCAATAAGGTGGACTATAATTCAGACAGCATCATAGATGCTCAGAGCAGGAATTTAAGAATATTCGAGTCCTCCTAATTTACCAGCAACTTTGGTGTCATCTGGAAATCGCTGATAACCAAACCTATCAATAGAGAGATTTCTTTTTCAAAAGATTTCCAAAGGATTGCAATTCCTGCATCCCGAAAGAGCTGGGATTCTGAATTCTATTAGCCAACGGGGGTGATAATGAAATCTTACTCTAAACTGAGCGTGGAGATCCCCAGTGACACTCCAGAAGCGAACTTGGTGAAGAAGACATAGAAAGAGAAGAAAATAGCTTCATGGCCTCTGCAATCCGGATGCTGGAGGTTGAAGTCGTCCACAACATCTGGCAACATAGACCTAATTGAAGGAGACAAGACAAAAGCCAATTGATCAGTTTAGCCATAAGGAAGTTCACTAAGGAACAAGATACGGATCAGATTTTCCCAAAAGGCTGCCACAAAATTATTTTTTTCAATATGAGTAAAAAGGAAATCACATAGCGAAGGATGAGCTGCTGTTTTTAATTTATTCCAAATTCTATTTCTATTCCTTTCCTTTCCGTTCTGTGAGAGGTTTTATACCAAACTATATTTTATTCTTTATACTGTTTCCACCTTCCCTTAAAAGATTAACAGGATCTACAATGGACTGAGAATCAGCGTCTCCACTAGATAATTGACAGTCAAGCAGAAACTAAATTAATCAAGTAAAAATAGCAAACTTCCTCAAACCTCCCCCAAAATAAGTTACTCAGATCTCATCCACATATCAAAGGATAAGGTCTGTAAACACCAGAGTTAATTAAATTAGGTCTCCCAGTGGAACTGCATGCTCACAAGAATAAACACTATAGACACAGCTACACAGAACAACACACCCCTCCCCAAGTGTTACTCTAGAATCAGCACATAGATACTCCCACACCAGGACAAGCTCCCCCATAAAAGTCTGTTGCTGTACCCCATTTCTCTGCAGCTTCCCCTAAAGGCAAACTGTTTGCTTTTTAGGAATAAATATTTCTTCTTTTCTCACAGCTGTCTGGATCTGATTTTTATGTATTCTTGCACAATCCTGGCTCGAGTTGGAATCCCAAATTATTTTTTGACAGTTCAAACATAACTGACCAGCTTATACTTCAATACATAGTAATAGAGTTGAAATATGATGTAACAAACCAACTGGTAAATGAGTCAAAACCCAACAGAAACTACATATCAATGGGGAACCCAAATCCTTATGAATCTCAAAGGCCCTTGGAAAGAGACAAGTCTTAATGGCCTTTCCACATCCTCATAGGTTTGGGGCTACTCTTTAGGAGTGATCCCTGATTTTTGGGGGGATGCTTTTCAGAAAGGTGGGACAGAAATAGAACTATGCAAGTAGTCCTCAACCGTATGACCACAATTGAGCCCAAAATGTCTGTTGCTAAATGAGAAAATTGTCAAGTGAGTTTTGTCCCATTTTAAAAGGTAAAGGTTCCCCCTGCACATGCATACTAGTCGTTCCCGACTCTAAGGGACAGTGCTCATCTCCATTTCAAAGCCGAAGAGCCAGCGCTGTCCGAAGATGTCTCCGTGGTCATGTGGCCAGCATGACTAAACACCGAAGGCGCACGGAACACTGTTATCTTCCCACCAAAGGTGGTTCCTATTTTTCTACTTCCCTTTTTTACCTGCTTTCAAACTGCTAGGTTGGCAGAAGCTGGGACAAGTAACGGGAGCTCACTCCATTACGCGACACTAAGGATTCAAATTACCGAACTTCCTGATCGACAAGCCCAGCATCTTAGCCACTGAGCCACCGTGTCTTCATTTTACGACACAGTTATTTAGTGAATCGCTGAAGGTATTAAGTTAGTAACACAGTTGTTAAGCGAACCTGGCATTCCCACTGATTTTGCTTGTCCCATGACATTGCAACCGTCATAAATACATGCCAGTTGCCAAGCATCTGAATTTTGATCACGTCAACACGGGGATGCTGCAACGGTCGTGTGAAAAACAGTCACAAGTCACTTTTTTTCAGTGCCGTTATACCTTTGAACGGTCACTAAGTGAATGGTTGTAAGTCAAGAACTACCTGTACTGTATATTGGGTTCGGAAAACAAACGATACTCGGCAATTCACTCACCATGGCAAGAGGAAAGCAGCGGCGACGCTCATTCCAGCTGCAACAGCCACCACGTAGGTCATAATGAGGTTACTTTCAAAAATCGCCACCGAGATGAGAAAAGGAGTGGCAGACTGAAGGAGGAGAAGAGAAGACGTGCTCAGGAAGATCACTTTGATTCAAACTTCAATGAACTCGTGCAATTTTGCACCTGAAGACGTCAGACCAGAAATGGGACTTTGGCTACAAATGGGTCTCCAGAAAATTGGGCTAGCTTGAGAGCTAAGAATGACTTGATCATTAAGGGAAACTTAGACCTTCTTTGTGGGTGCTTCTTTCTTTTCTTGACCATGTTTGCCCATGAGAACCTGGTCATAATTAAGAGCAGTTTCCTTATTCCTGCTTGGATACAACTATGGGTTGAGAAGAAAGTTCTCAAAATGTCTATCAATCCATAGATATTTAGGCTGAAACTTATCAGTTACTTTACACTTGACTGAGATCAAAGTCTTCGAACTGGTTCATGCATCATGCTAAATCATATTTTGACTCATCAAGGTTTATTGCATAAGCCACCATTGACTGGTTTCATACCTTACTCTAAATCAGGGGTCTCCAAACTTGGCCCCTTTTAAGATTTGCAGATGTCAACTCCCAGAATTCCCCAGTCAGCCATGCTGTCTAGGGAATTCTGGGAGTTGATGTCCACAGGTCTTAACGTTGCCTGCTCTGAATCACAACTATATATTACCACAGCTGGGTACACACAGGCTACCGAGACCTAGCAAAATGTAACCAGCCTATTATCGCTTAGCCTGTTTTGCACACAAGACCATTGTATCTATGGGGATTCTCATAGGTGCTTTTTCAGGAGGCAACTGGACTTTCTGTTTTTTCTTTGAAGGCGTTTCACTTCTCATCCAAGAAGCTTCTTCAGCTCTGACTGGATGGTGGGGAATGGAAGGATTTATATTCCTTGCAGGCAGCTGGTCATTTGCATCCTTTTGGAAGGTCGTTGAAGCACTTGGAGGTTTTATCTGTGTCCTCAGGGTCACCTGAGCTAGCGCTCCTGGTTCCTGTAGTCTGCCATTTTTCCCCTCTGGAAATCCATTCCTACTCCCACTCCGTTCCAAGGGTGTTCATCCCAAATTGTATAGTGAAACATCTTCAAAGAAAAAACAGAAAGTCCAGTTGCCTCCTGAAAAAGCACCTATGAGACAACCATGACCTGGTTGACTGAGAATCTCTACCGACTTTTTAGATATGCAATTTGGGATGAACACCCTTGGAACGGAGTGGGAGTAGGAATGGATTTCCAGAGGGGAAAAATGGCAGACTACAGGAACCAGGAGCGCTAGCTCAGGTGACCCTGAGGACACAGATAAAACCTCCAAGTGCTTCAACGACCTTCCAAAAGGATGCAAATGACCAGCTGCCTGCAAGGAATATAAATCCTTCCATTCCCCACCATCCAGTCAGAGC